AATGGGATGTTATTATCACTATCTGAGATAAGCTTTTTCGTCAGGTGAATAATAAACATTCAATTTTAGAAAATGGAAGGTAGTAAAGGGACTCCAATAAGTCAACGTACCGCGCTATTATTAAAATTGTCTAAACAGGAACAAACCAACTTCGGAAGTGTCCAAAGTGAACCGTACTCAAAAAAAGTATCAAGATGGGTGGCATCTTTACCTTACAATCTAAATGAAACTGCAGCATACGGAGCTGATGATAACCAGTCATCGCAAATTTGTTCTCTAGATAGTTCTGCAGGTAAAATGCAGTTTAAAAGAAAAATGTAGCAGTCTTGGAAAGCGTTTTTTTTTCAGGATGTGTTGCAAACATCCATGAAACCGAAAATTGTTCGCCAGTATTGAACTACTTGCTGACTGAGGCTGAAGAGAGTAGGCAAACCGTGGGTGCAAATACTGATAATAATGAAAATATGAATAGTGGTAGTGATGACATAATTGATAATGATCAAACATCGCAAAGGTGCGCTGTAAATAGCTCTTCAGGTAAAACCCAGTTTTAAAAGGAGACGCTGTTATTTTAGAATAATATATTTTTTCAGGTGTTGCTGCTACCGAAATTATTTCTTGTGAAGACCGAAACTATACCCCACTATCAAACAAAATACCAACTGAAATTAAAGACGATTCTGTGGTTGATATTTCACTGAAAGAAGCCAAAAGCGGCCATGAATGTATACATACCTCCTCTGTAAATAAAGGTAACGAAGTATAAATTATCATACTGTAAAAGTGTTTCATGATTTACTGTTTTTAGGTACCGAGTCGTTTACAAGCGCACAAGCCGATGACGTCGAGTCACCCATTGATGATTCAGATGCTGACCCGAACTACTCTTCCTCTTCCTCTTCAAGCTCATCTTTTTTGTCAGATATAGAAGAAGTCAGAGAACAGAAAGTCAGAAAAAGGAAACTGAAACCTGAAGCATGGAAAAAAAATATTGCAAAACATCGTCGGAATGCTAGACTTGAATACGTATCAACTTCAAAAAGTAAAAAGGTAATCAAAGCTAGAGAGATTGGTCCACCTTGTGACAAGTGTCGATTAAAATGCAAAGAAAAGATTACTGCAGAACAAAGAAAATTGATATTTTCTGACTACTGGAACATGGCAGATTTGTAGTGGAAGGGCGGTCATATAATTATGATCGAACTTCACTTACAGGTAAGTTCGTTTAATCATTAATTATATTTCCCGCCCTTCCACTACATGATCATTGGTAGATGTTTAAAGATTTCAGCAATTTAGTACTGCCACATATTTTATTATTATAAAATAGAAAACCTCCTACCAACAGTAGGTACAACTTATGTACAAAAACTATATCCTAAAAAATGCTTACATACTACCAAGCATCTCATAATCTTAAGCATAAAACCAACTAACCACTACGGTTAATGCGGCAGCAAAGTATTTGCCTGTAAAACTGAGTTACCAAAGGTCTGGTTAACTTTAACAGAGCAATGGTAGAATTTTGCAAATACGGAAGAGTTAGCCGTCCAACCTGCAGTCTTCCGAATTTCATCCAAGCTAACCTCTGCTCGGTAAGCTGCAGAAGTACTGGCATGCCTTGTGGAATGAGGCTTAAACAACTCTGTGTCTACTCCACTTTTACTTAACATGCCCTTAATCCATCGACTAAGGGTCTGGCTTGACACTCTGCCATGTGGCTTTTTAAATGATATAAATAACCAATGATTTAACCTAAAGCTGGCAGTTTTCTTTATATACTCAAACAATACACTCGCTACACAGAGTCTAATATTACTTTTAAATAGTGGTATTTTGGTATTTGAAGAAGGGGTTGAACATTGTTTGGAGTGGAAGTTTTCACCAGATCCGGGATAAATATCTGTGCACCATCACTATTCTTAACAATATTCTCAATCTTTATACTAGCAAAGGTCTGAACTCGGTGAGCGGTTGTGATTGCAAGAAGAATCAGTAATTTCTTTCCTAATATCTCAACCGTTAGTTGATCATTATCGCCTAAAGAATCCACATAGCGTATCACAATTTCTGGATCCCAAGTGTAATTGTATCTAGGTCTAGAAGGCCGGCTCCTTTTAGAATTCTTTTAACGAGAGTGTTGCTACTAATTTCTGGTCCCAAAAGCAAGGACAGAACTGATCTAATTGAATTTAAAGAGCTATAAGAGGCACCCTGGTTAAAACAATGAGTTAGGTAAACCATTACCACCTTACTAGACTGTGTGTAAGGATCTAATACTTTGCTAGCACAAAAAAACCACCATTGTCTTAGATAACATTCATATTGATTGAAGGAAGACAATGACAACGAGTTGAGCGAGATATCTATGGCTTCTGAAGGCAATCCTTGTTTCTGCAAGGCGCGGCTGATAACCATCCTACCTCCAGGGAAAGCTTCCTCCATAGTGGGTGGGGTTGCCTGTCAACGGAAAGAAGTATGTAACGAAGTGGTTTTACTTCGCGCCCCAATTTCATTAAAAAATTCGAAAATTCCTTGTCATGATAGTGCAGGTCACCCTGTATATTTCATTATTTGTTCCGGTTAGAAATTTTGTGTTTGGGCATTTCGGTTCGCTCAAGACTATGGTCCGATAGATTTAATTTCGCTCAGATTTAATTTCGTCGTGGGAAGAGTGCAAAGCTGATTGACGTCATCATGAGTAATGCGAGTTTTTTTGTCGTTCATTTATCAACTTTGGCGCCGACTAGACCGAGAAAAGGAGCGGATGTAGCACCGAGCTATCAGAGATAAGGGGCCTTTTTAACGTCATCAGCAGAAAACCGTGAGATCAGTTGGTCAGCAGTTCTTTGAGGTTAATGACGAAGTTAGAGTGGGTTAAGTCTTATTTATCTGAACCAATGGGAGAATTTCTAGCGGGAGCCATTTTTGTTTTATGGTAATTTGGGTGTGGTTTTTTCATTTCAATTCTGAAGAAGGGGATCGTTTTTAGAAGAGACTCGCGGTTTAGTACGTCGAGGGGTCAACACGTACCTTGAGTGATCGCGTTTTAGAAGAGACTCGCGGTTAGTACGTCGAGGGGTCAACACGTACTTTGAGTGATTGCGTTTTAGAAGAGACTCGCGTTAGTACGTCGAGGGGTCAACACGTACTTTGAGTGATCGCGTTTTAGAAGGAGACTCGCGGTTAGTATTTCAAGCGGTCAACACGTACCTTGAGCGATAGTTTTGGTACACTTGGCGGTTTGAGCCACCGGCTTATTTCGGTTGCTCCCAGTTGCGTGCTTTTTGCACCCGTTCGAAGTGTTATTTTCTTTGCGCGTTGATTTTTTGGCGAAGAAGACCCAAGTTTCAATCCGGTGATATTTTGGCGAACCTTTGAGCTTCACCCCATTATTTTGGATGCAGTGAATCGCGTTAGGATACGTTGTGTTTTCTCGAGGATACATAATTCAAAGTGCTGCCCTAGTCCTCAAGGCGCAGAATTTCGGGATCCCCCGCAGTTGGAATTTCCTACTAGTGCCGTAAGGTCATTTGTCGAAGGAGCGCTGCGTTTCGGAGAGATATTTGCCCCAAGAAGAGCTGGTGAAATAATACTTTGAATCATCGCGGTTTACCGTCGGATAGTGATCATAAAAGTTTGTGTTCTGCCGTACCGCTAACTCAAAAATCTGTATTCCGCAGGCGGTCAAAGCTAATAAACTAATAAAATAAAATTAAATACACTGTGCTGTGTAGAAACTTTGGCAACTAGCCGTCTCCCACTCGCCACGCGAAGGATTTCCGGGACTAAGTTTCGTTCAAACGCTAAACTTTGCTTTCGTTCCGAGGAAGGATAGGCACCGTGGATTTTTGTTTCCGTGTGTTAAATTCAAGCCACCCCTAGGAAGTCACAGAGACCTAAGTGTCAGGTTTCATCACATCCACCCTGTACCAGAGGAAAGAGCAGTTCACAAGATCGGCTGTACAAATGTTGTAAAGGTTAGTCTAATTAAATTTGTAACATTCTGTAAAATTCCACTTTTTGGTAATTAAGCTATCGTAAAAAAATTTTGAGTTGATTGTTTATTAAAGTCCAATGAACGATTACCAAAGAGTAGGATAAATTTTTGTGTTTATTTAAATAAGTCCCAGCCCATGCTGGATTAAAAACGATTACCTGTTGTTGCAATTTTCAAACTGTAGAGGATGGCCACCCCTTGAGTAAATTAGTTTCACCTGTTAGGATTTTTTAGTTAGTAGTTGTCATTGTTAAGCTAGTGTTTTTACAAGTAGAAGAGAAGAACTGCTAGATCCCTGTAAATTGTTTGTATCGCTAATCTCATTTCAATATATTATCTATTTGGTTTCAATGTGCCTGTCTTTAACGAAGAACGAGGGGAAGGAAAGGGAGGAGTAGGAGTTGAGGCAGGAGACTGGTAGGCGGCAGGTTAAGGTTTGTTACGCAGTTTCAAAAGAGTTAAAAGCCCACCGATTTGAGTTAGCCGGAGCATTTATTTTTATCGATTGAGCAGCCTAAGAAGAGGACGGTTTGCCTTGCCGGGCGGAACCGATGGTAATTTTCAAGGCCAGAAGGAACCCCCGTAGCAATTGTCGCCTAGCAACGTAGGGGCTCGAAGTCCACTAAACCACCCCGAGATAAATTTTTTTTGTGTGCATTTGTTTGGAAGTTGTTATTTTTTGTAAGCGTTTTCACGAACGGAAGTCGACGAGACCAGGTCAAGGTTGCGTGAAAGGAGAGACGGAAGGAATTTTGTCGAGTCAAGGATAAGATCGCGAGAAAAAAATCATAGGCGTAACATTGAGAAGGGATTTTGTTTGTTTGTTTTTTGTATTGCCATTTCTTTGTTAGGGGTTTGTAAATTTTGATTGGAGTAGACGAAAGGGCGGTGTTTTTTGTTAAATCAACGACCATAGCGGTAGAATTTTTCTTTTGGGTCCCAAAAAATAGGAAGGTTAGGATATAAGAAACAGAAGCAACCAACGAACCTTGCTGACAAGATGTTTTCACAGGAAAGTCAAGATTTGTTCGGGAGCCAAGAAGAACAAGTGAACCCAAGTGGAGGGGGTAGCGGTGAACAACCACCACCTGAAGTGAGCCATGAAGAAAAAAAAGAAACAAAGAAGACGGAACTCAGTGGCAGGAAAGAGGAGATGGACCGGATCACCAACATGATAGCGATGCTGATCCAAGTACAGGAAGAGGGCCAGAAGAAAATGCAAGAAGGCCAGAAGAAAGTGGAAGGCGCGTTGCAAGAGGGCCAGAAGAAAATGCAAGAGGACCAGAAAAAGATGGAAGCGGGACAACACAGCATGGAAAGGAAACTGGAAGAAACCCAGAGAGAGACCCACAGTTTAATTGGAGGGTTAGAACAGCGAATGGAAAGAAACAGGCAGGAGCTCCAATACCAAACAAAAATGATGGTGGAAGAATTGAAGTATGAAGTCAAAGAAGAGGAAAAGAAGTTAGAAGAACGAGTCCAAAGCGATATCAAGAGAAGCATACAAGAAACCAATGGCAAGTTAAAGGCAGTAGAAACGGAATTTGGTCGTCAACAGCAAGAAATACAAATCGTCCTTGAAGAAAAACTGGTCAGAAACCACGCAGAGGTAGAAGAGTTGCTGGAGACACAACAAGAAAAAATACGCGAGTGTGAAACCGGAGTTGGGGAGCTGAAGACCCAGTGGGAAGAAAATCAAAAGAAACCTCGCCCCATCAACCCCACATCTATAATTTATAAAGCGGATCACCTGCTTCACCAGAAACCGAAAAAATTCGACGGGAATATTCAAACCGTACACCCGATAAGTTTCGTAGAGAGCTTGGAGAACTACCTCCGTAATTTCGAGCCCAATGAAGATAACAAGCTGGCTTATGCCAAAGGAATGGTGGAAGGCAACGCCAAGGCATGGGCCGACTTAAACCGAAACAAATGGAAATCGTGGGAGGATTTCAAAGAGGATTTCATCAAACAATATCCCAGCAAACACAAATGTTTCAATAAGATCTCCGAGATGTTGCAACTAAAGCTCTGATGAGATGTGTCGATGAGACGTATATTAGATGTTTTTGAATCCTTAATATCGCATGTGTCTGAGATGTCACATTTTCAATGCCCCAGGGATAGTTCGCCTAGTGCTCAATACAAACATCTCAGTGGGACTTGTATGCCATATCGCTGGGACTAAACAGAGGTATCTGAAAAACGTGTCATCTAGCTCCCAGAGCTGTATCAATACGGTCTCTGAGATGTCACAACTAAAGCTCAAATGCTATGTCTCTACGAGGTACAAGCCGAATCACCGGGATTAAACAAAGACGTGTCAGAAATATATCATGTATCTAACGTAGATGTTTCAATAAGAGGTGCTGTAAAATATATGTAACTTCTCAACGCGACACACGTACGTGTAGTAGTAATATAACGGGTGATTCATATAATGATTGCGGACAATTTGAATTTTCAGTTGGGTACACAAAACATTCATAAAGTGGGTCACATGCCAAATGTCATTTATTTAAATGCGGATTAATTTAATGGATAATGCCAATGCCTTACGTAAAAACCACTAAAATCTACAATCAGTAGGTTTTGTACATCAAGAACTTAATTATTACCGAAGCGGGTCGTTGATGAGATATGAATTTCGAACCGAATCATAACAGACAAATTTATTTCATATTACTAACTTAGATATATCTGTTAAAATACCATAGCTGAACTAATTTTTAATAAATACGATTTTTAGATAGGTATAGTATGAATTAAATATAATTTTTGGGGTTTATTCGTTTTTTTTTTCAGTAGGCCACGAAATATTATAATCGCCGTGCGAGTACAAAGTCAACAACTTTGTAAATTCTTTGAATTGAATCTTGTTTACTTAAGGTACCTGTTTAGCGGATCGAAAAGTGTGCTTAACCGGTTCTAGGGTGGATATTCGTTTTCGTTTTAAGGGTCGTTCATTCATTGATTTCGTGCGCGTCCTCGTGATTGTTAATTTTGATTTGTGTTCGTGATTAGGTACATTTCCGGAATCCGGTTGGTTTGAAGGCATCACTATAGGTAAGTACGTACCTAATCTATCTATTTTTGTTTGTGTATTTAATTAAGATTGAAATTATATAAGCAAAGATAAATGCAAGTTTTTCGATTTTGATGCACATTAGATAGATGGACAGGCGAATTACTATAAAATCTTAATATTTGTGTGAATATGTAATCACCGGCAATAAATTAGCGAAATTTCAGACAAATTCCGTTTACACAATCAATGGAACGTGTGGGTTAAAAATATTGAAATTAAGAAATTTCTCCCTGTAACTGTAAACAGTTTACTGTAGATTTTGGCGCTGAACTGTTTTTTCGCATTTGTCCTTACGGGTCACGGAATTATTATCCTGATGAGCGTACTTCTCGCGATCAATATCCAGTGAATTTTTACCCTACTGATGATGACCACTTAGTGGTCGAAATACGTATTTAGGTTTTTTTAAAACTTATTGTGGTAAAGGGAGAAATTTCTTAATTTCAAAATTCCGTTTAGCCTAGGGTTGGTATAAGGAAACAAAATTGCCGTTTCTACAATACAATTTTGATTCTATACAATCACACAATGTATAAACTAGAAAAGGATTTAGTTTAATTTATAATGTTAAACATTACTTAAGCAATTTGGAATTGAAAACAAAGTGTTGTTCAAGATCTCTAGGGGTATGTATCTGTTTCACGCAAACCGTTGCCTAAAAGTATTCAAGCTCTCATTGACAATATGAATCTGAAAAGTTGCTACCAATATAATTTTTCATAATTTATTGAAGGAAAATATTATCGTGATCGTTACATTTCCGGTTATACCGGATGTCGATAGCAATTTTTTTATTTTGAATAGAACACCCCATATTTTATCGCATTTTAGAAATCTACATGAAAATCTACGTCTTTTGATAGAGAGAAAATATTTTTGATAATCTAATTGACTCGTAACTATGGATCACTGTTTTTTTGTAGCGTAGGCTGCATAGTAAATTCCGAGATAAATGCCGCAAAAAGCAATATGGGCACGATGCCCGTTTTTAGCGCATTTTTTTTAATAATTAACACACGATTTACCCGTCATGGTATTCTAAGGAAAGGACTCATCAAAAGGAATTGGTTTCTATACAAACTATAAGTGTACCACAATATTGTTGGTGAAAATTTAACTTAATTGGTATAACATTCATAATTGAGTTGACTTCACATGAGGTACTTATTTTGCATCTATGCTGGGAATGCATCTTATACTGAGGTTGCCATATTCTTTTGTGTTTTCGAAGGTCTAAGTAAAAAGGTACGTCATGAGTAGAGCCCGGATTACTAAGCAAAATGCACTTTTTTTTCTACACCTTTATAAGTAAGCAGAAATGCCACACTTTGTCAAATATGCCTCAATAAACTGATTAAACTATGCTTGATAGTGCTTATAAATGCTTATTAGGAACTAGAACGCTTATTTTAGGATTCTTTATTAAAAATGCTTATTTCGTACAAAAAGGTGTTGCTTATAATATGTTTACCCGAAGGGTTGTAGTAAAGTGGAAGTTTGATGATTTTATTTTTAAAATTTCGGAATGAATGTGACAATCTTCCCACGCTTAAAGAACCTTTTTATTTCAAGTTTAAACTCTTCCTTATTTGCTGGTCGGCATTAGTTACTTTGTACCTACAATAAATCATAATTCCTACCTCCAATACATAACGAGCTAAGCTTAACAGAAATCCGGTACTTGTTTGTTGACTCATCCATTCACAGAATTCTAAGAAAAGCCTACTTAGGCAGGTACTATTTCTTGCATTGTGATACGACGTATTATATTACCTCGGTTTGTTTCTAGTGTTAATACTTCAGTACAGATTCTACTTTCCTTGCGAATTTACGTCCTGTTATTTGTTAAAAATGCCTCCTGTACGAAATTCTCATTCTTCTTTGTTGAGCAAGTACGTAAAAGAGTTTGGAAATAATATTTTCAGCGAAGACGGCAAAGTTTTATTTTGTATAATGTGTGAAAAGGGTGTTTCTGCGAAGAAAAAATACGACGTGGTGCAACATATTAATACATCGCGTCATAAAGAGAGGGTTAAGAATAAATCGAAGTTAACTCAGCAACTAATTACAAGCAGTGTAGGTGAACAATCGAGTTCAAGTGATCCATTTTTTAAAGACTTGTGTTTGGCGTTAGTGAGTTCCGACATTCCGCTGTGGAAATTGAATAACCTGCAATTTAGACAATTTTTGGAGAAGTACACAAACAAAAAAGTGCCTGACGAATCTACATTGCGCAAAAGATATTTGCAACAGTGCTTTCACGATGTAATTTGTGAGATTAGGGACCAAATGAAATATGAAAATATTTGGATTTCAATTGACGAAACCACCGATGCGGCGGGACAGTGTGTATGTAGTGCTGTAGTAGGAGGTTTGAAAGCAGGTAGCAAATCTTATCTTCTTAACATACAAATACTGGATCGTGTGAATCATTCAACTGTGGCAAAATTCTTTAATGACTCCCTGACACTTTTGTGGCCAGAAGGCATACGGTACGACAATGTACTGTTGTTCCTTAGCGATGCTGCTCCATATATTGTTAAAGCAGGGTCTGGTTTAAAAGTGCTCTACCCTAAGTTAGTTCACGTGACATGTCTTGCCCACGGATTACATCGTGTCGCGGAAACAATTAGGACCCACTATAAAGATGTTGATCTCCTCGTTTCGTGTGTTAAAAAGGTGTTCATAAAATCACCGATTCGAGTTCAAAAATTTCATGAACTGGCTCCAAATATACCTTTACCACCTCAACCCGTTTTGACTCGATGGGGATCATGGTTGCAAGCTGTATCGTACTACGCTGAACATTTCAGCGAAGTCAAAGAAGTTTTTAGTGCTCTAAATGCAGAAGACGCTGCCAGCATTGGAACAGCACAAGAATGCTTTTCTAAAAAAGGTATTCAAGAGAAGATTCAGTACATTCACACTCACTTTTCCAAAATACCTGATGCTATTACTCAATTGGAAGCACGAAATAATTCTTTAGAACATTCACTTTCGTTGGTCGAGGAAATTTCAACTTCTTTATCAAAGGAAACGCATGGTGTAGTCAAATTTGCATACGACAAACTCTGCAACGTGTTACTGAAAAATTCCGGCTACAATACACTGCGTCAAATTTTGAAAAAACTTTCTGGTGATGACGTCATGTTTGAAGAGGAATACACGGACGAAGAGTTGTGGTGTTTTTCACATGCACTTGTGACGTCATGTGACGTTGAACGGACATTTTCAATGTATAAAACATTTTTTACAGATCGGCGAAGAAGTTTTACTCAGGAAAATTTGAGAATGACCTTCATTGTGTATTGCAATAAAGCAATAAATTAAATAATTAAGCATTAAGTAAAAATACTTTTAAATAAATTTTTTGTTTAATATACTTATTTTGGTGCTTATTTCTTACATTTTACGTGCTTATTTGCATACTTATTTCACTGTTTGATTGCGCTTACAATTCCGGGCTCTAGTCATGAGCAAGAAAAGGAAGCCATTTTGTGATCTATCCGATAGACAAAAATGGAGACTAGTGGAAAGAGAGATGAATCCTAACACAGCCATTTGTTCGCGTGCCACTGTTTCAGTCCCAACTCCAAACCATATAATGGAGAAAACATCTCCAATTCCGGTGGACAATTACGTTATAGACCAGGGCTGCGATACCGCTACTTGGTTGGGTTCTGCATCATCAATAGGTTAGCAATAATTTACATGACAAAAAACATCAAAACTTCCTGCTTTAGGTGAACATAGTACAGGCACTAGTTTGCCAGCTGCTCATTCCCAGGCTAATTCGGTAAACTCGGAAACATTCAGTGTTTATGTAAAAGATATTGAAACTAACACATATGATAGTTCTAGTGGTTTACAAGAAGATCTGAGAACATGGGTTATCAAGTATTCACAAATACCCAGAACTGCAGTGAATGATTTGCTGGCTTTGCTAAGAAGGAATGGTCACTGTGATTTACCAAACGATTCCAGAACATTATTGAGTACACCCAGAAACTCAGCCAATTTTATCGAAACATTTAGTTCAGGTCGTTACGCACACTTTGGAGTGTATGAGCAATTGAAAGACTCTATCGTGAAACACTACCCTAAAAACCAATACCCTACTGAAGTGAATCTACTTATAAACATAGATGGGCTACCACTGTCAAAGAGTTCAGCTATTCAATTTTGGCCTATACTATGTGCTATCCTTTCTAGTGAATTCTACACAACCCCATTCCCTATAGGAATTTTTGAAGGAAATACGAAACCAGATGACGTAAACCAATTTTTTAAAAAATTTGTAGACGAAACCAATACCATTCTACAGTCGGGTATAATTTTAGATCATAAAACCATTGTGGTAAAACTGCACGCTATTGTATGTGATGCTCCAGCCAAGGCGTACGTATGTGGTATAAAAAACCATACAGGCTATTTTGGTTGTCCCAAATGTATTCAACAAGGCGAATTCATTGAAAATAGGGTTGTGTTTACCGAGACAAGTTCAAGTGAGAGAACTGATGCATCATTTAAAAACAGAATTCACCCCGAACACCATAGAGAAACGACAGCATTGGAAAAATTACCCATAGGAATGGTATCACAAGTGGGACTGGATTATATGCATTTAGTTTGCCTGGGTGTTATGAAACGTCTGCTTCAGTTTTGGGTGAAAGGAAAATTAAATATCAGATTGAAGCCAAATAAATTGGAAGAAGCTTCCAGTAAACTAATATCGATGAGAGCCTATATTACTCTAGAATTTGCACGACAGCCAAGGAGTTTAAATGAAATTGATCGTTGGAAGGCGACAGAGTTTCGACAATTTCTGCTGTATACGGGGCCAATTGTAATGAATAATATATTGTCTGTGAAAACCTATAGACACTTTATGTGTTTAAGTGTAGCTATTAGAATATTGTGTGATGGTAATTCTGATACTGACTTGATAGATTATGCACATAACTTGCTTCTATATTTTGTACGAAAATATGGAAATATGTATGGATTACATTATCTATCATATAATGTACATAATTTGATACATTTAGCGCAAGATGTAAAGAGATTGGGACAGTTAGAAAATTTCAGTGGTTTTAAATTTGAGAATTACTTATATAACTTAAAAAGAAAGCTCCACATATCGGGTAGACCCCTTGAACAAATATGCAACAGAATTATAGAGGAAAAGAATCACAACAGAAATGTTTTACAAAAGTATCCTATTTTACATTCCAAGCTTAATGTAATTTACAAAGCAGAGTTTGAGTCGTTCACCCTAACTACGACTGCACCAAATAGTTATTGTATCCTTTATGACGGGAGAGTTGTAAATATTTTGAAAATATCTCAGAAAACTAATGTCTTATGTTTCACCGTGAACACATACAAAACTAATACATCTTTTTTTTCTGTTCCATGTAAATCAGAAAGTTTAGGCATTTTGTATGTAGCAGATGTGATGGAAGACACTTTTGAAATACCATTTTCTGATATAAAAAATAAATGTATGTGCCTTAAATATTTAGATGGATATGTTGTTATGCCATATTTGCATTAATTACCAATTGTAAAATTATGTTGTACATTTTATTAACCACTGTATAAATGTACCTATACTCTACTTACTAACACTTAATCACACCATTTCTATACTATCTATAGGAAGAAAATTATGTCTTTAAAAAAATTCGCAGTGGTGTATTTCGAAGAAAACGAATCTTTCTCCGAAATTCCATCCTCATGGTTAAACGAGGACATGAAATATTGCAAGTGGCCAAAATCGCTGAATCCCACAGCGTTAATGGTTAAGGGGATAGAACCCTCTGACACATGGGGGAATTATAAAGTTAGAGTTGAGAAGTTTTATGGTAAATTTTGTCAGATATTGCTTACATGTTTTAGTTATTACGCTCATTATAGATACGCTGGAAGCTGCACGAAAGCATGCTGGAACAGATTACACATCAAGTGAAGAGGTCGAAACTGGAAGGGGGAAAAGAAAAAAGACCAGTGTAACTAAATCAACGTCTACTGACGATGAAGAGTCTACTAAAGGTTCGTCAAAATTTTGTGATTACTTACATTAACGTTAAATCGTCCATTTTAGATAGTCCACCTCCAACTCTTAAGAAAAGGAGATCTTCGCCACGTTTCTCTAAGCGAGAAAACACACGCCAATCTTCTACGAATAACGGTAAGCTCTTTGTGCGACTTTTTAAAACGTACTAAGCAGAAGTCAACTTACTTTAGAGATTTTTGTACTTAACCCGTTATCACATTAACGTATCAATTTAACAAAGAACCGTTACTAAGAGTTGAGAATCTCCAAAAATTTATACTAAATTATTTCAGTTAATAATAATGAAAACTTGCTATCATCATCGCAAGAACATGGACAAAATGTACCGATGGCATCAAATACAGGCAGCATCATTGAATCTAATGAAGGTATTGTCATTATGATAATGATTACACTTCTTGAAACTAATGGTAGGATTATTCAAGGTGCAGACCAGATACGTCCACTAGACAATTCCATAGTGCTCGATTTTGGAAATTCCACGTTGCAGGAACTAATACATACTTGCGATCACAGACACGATTTTGGTATGTGAATATTTACAAATAGAAAAAAGTTATAAAAATAATTTATATTATGCTTCAGACAATATTCATACAAACATGAAAAAAATATTCGTGCAGATAAAATCTCTGGAATCCAGATTGGAACAATTGAACAATCAAAACCAAACAAACATTATATCAATAAACACAGAGGAGGTTCAGACAAAGCTCCCATTAAATACGCTAGAGGAATTAAGCACCTTGGAAAACATTGTGGCTGAGGAAGGGGAGTTTTCACATAAATTTGTGAGTTGTATAATTTACTCAACACTAAGGTTTTCATTCTTTTATTTTAGACCTCATACTTACAAACCATTGGCGGCAAAAATGCAAAAGACGCCCTAGTTAACATGCTTCGGAAAGTATTCACCAATAAATTAGCAGTAAGCTGCTCCTGGCATGGCCTTAGGGGGAATTTTAAATTATCAAATTTAAAATTTATGAACAGGATAATAGGTAAGATATTTGTTTAATATTTTTATTACTATCCGATGCCTATGTTAACAGCTGCTGAACAACGTATGTATAACAGCATCCAAGAGCACGAAATAATTACCATTATAAATGATTGGTTTCGTCAAGCTAGATTAAGAGAAACCAGGGAAAGAAATTAGCAGCCTAATAAATGTAATAATAATAAATGTTGCTTTTTTGTTTTTATTTTACCATATTGGTATCTTAGTTTTTTAATTATATCCCGTAAAATAAGAATTTCCTTGTTTAATAAGTGTGCTCATACATAAATAGTTCTTTGTAATAAATTATTTACTTTTTGCGTGACGTTCTAATTGAGGTAGTTAGTAAACCCTTACTTCAGGTATTTATCGTAGATATCTCGTCAGTTCATTTATACTTATACCAGAAACATGTCATTATACACATATACTTTATATCTATTAAGATATCTAGGTATATTGTATAGGTACTTAAAGAACGATGCCCATTTTAGATGTTAGGGGAGTCCATTAAACTCTAAAACACTGTGTTATATAACACTGATAGCTTATTTTATTCGAATTCGTCTTTTATTAATATTTCATCATTAGAAAAAAAACGTTTCTAAAAGCTGGCGTAGCTAGTACGTAATCATGGTAATAGAATCAAAAAAATTAGGTAGGTACGGAAAATTATTCAAAGATGTCTCATTCATGCGTCTATGGCCTGTCTTTAACACCTCATCCAAGTATCCGAGATGTCTCATTCACGGGCTTAGTGATGTACCAATAGCATTTCCGTGAAGTGGCTGAGACATAAAATAGATGATTCAAAGGTGTCTCATTCATGCGTCACTTGGTGCGCCATGTATGACTCAGCAAAGTATCAGAGAGGTCCCATGCATGTGTCGAGTAATGTGGCATAGATGTGTCAGGTAAGTCTCGGAGACGATACAAACCACGTTTCATTAAGGTGTCAGGAACGTCTCTGTACATCTCTGGGATGGCTCAAATGCGCGTGTCTGAAACCGGCGTTTTGTATTACATGTAACGTAAATGTACACTACATGACACATCTCTGAAAGCTATCACATCTCAGTTGGGATGTATCAATTACATCACTGAAAAGTCTCCGTGTTTACTGGGAT